ATATAAATATATAAAACAAGAATCAAAGTGAAGAAAAGGACAGTTTTATTTTAAGAAAACTCATTATTAAATACAATGCTTAATCATAGCTAAAGCACTACAAGGAACATAGCTTCCACCATTGACTATCCTGAAACGATTTTACTGGGATTAATATTTGGAATTTAGAGAAGCTAAAACCATTGTTCTCTGATAGTTAATTGGGAAGTTTTCCTGAAGGTGGCAGACTGCTACAAGATTTCCATCTTGAAGGCTTTTAAGCAGCTTGTAATTCAGAGCTTTTTAGCCAAGTTATTCATATTTCTATGGGTCCCAACAAATTTTCATCTGCTTCATTATGTCTAAGCGCTTCAACAGTTATGGCAGCAATTACACTCACTGCTTGTGAAAATATTTTAAAAGGGAAAATCTCATTTTCACAGAAATTTCACAAAACTTCTGGCAGCATGAAAAAGAATGTTAGAAGTTAAAATAAGTGTGGAGAACAGTCGGGATTACAATGTAAAAGAACTCCTTGAATTTCCGCACTCAGGTAGAGCTTGGATGCAACATTTAACGAATATCCAACATGCGTCAGATGATTTGCCTGGTCCTTGCCTGGTGTTGCTCAGGCCTTTGAAGAGCAAAACAGAAGGCAGACGTACTCCACCAGAAACACACGATGGATTGGCTGTCATCCTTTGGGAATCATTATGGAAATAAAACCTGAACCACAAATGCATAATTACAGCTCTTCTTGTCAAAACATATGAATTAATAGGAAGTCTGAACTTAAGAACTTTCCTTGGGCTTATATTAAGGGTTGAAGTCAGGTCTCCAAGGAAAGTCTTACTAGGAGGCTGCCCAGAATTAAGCTTCTATCTGAGTGAAGTGTTATGATGGGTGTTGATAGAGTTTGGATGTGTTGTCCCTGCCAAAACTCATGTGGAAATCTGATCCCCAGTGTGACAGTCTGAGTCACAGGGGCGGATCCATCATGATTGGATTACTGCACTCCCTAGGTGGGGGGAGTAACAAGTGAGTTCTCGCTCTATTAGTTCCCATGAGAGCTGGTTGTTTAAAAGACCCTGGCATCTCCCCCCTCTCTCTCTTGCTTCCTCTCACCTTGTGATCTGCTTGTACCCACTGGCTACCTGCCACTTTCCGCCATGAGCAGAAGCAGCCTGAGGCCTGTGCCAGATACAGCTGTCCCAGAATTGTAAGCAAATAAACCTCTGTTCTTTATAAATTACCTAGTCTCAGGTATTTCTGTTGTAGCAACACAAACGGACTAATACAGGTGTGTATGGCTAAATATCTTAAGACACTAATGAAGTATACCCAGGGTCTTGCCAACACACTGAAATGTAAATTCTATGAGGACAGGAATTTTTGCCTGTTTTGTTCATGCTGTATCTAACATTGAACAGTGCTAGTACACAGTAGGCACTAAACAAATGTCAAATAAATGTCAAATGAACCAAAAGACAAGTAGGAGCCCTGAGCTGGAATCCAGGCCCTGGACAGGATCTCTCCACTTGAACACCAGTCATGCCGCCAGAAGTGAGTCCTTCAATAAGTTACTTAATTTGCTTGAACTCACTTTAAAATTTAAAATTTAAAATCCATTTGAACTCACTTTAAGATTGGGATTATAGTAATTACCTAGTGGGTTTTACTCAGATTTAAAATATAAGTATTTAAACTATAAGTAGTGCTTAGCTCAGAAAATGATGTTTAAATACAAGGGTATTTCAAGAAGTTCATGGGGAAAAAATGGAATTAAAAGATAATACAAATCCTTTCATGAACTTTGTGAAAGCCCTATGTATTTATATTGCTTTGTAAACCTAAAAGAAGAAACTGAGGCAAAAATGTAAAACGAAGAGTTTTATATGGACCAGATTTTAGGACTGCAACCTGGGAAATACAAATTGTGCTCTGGAGGACAAAAGTGAAATCAGCAGAATTTAAACGGAAAAGCAGAATCTGAAAGGGACAGTTTCAAAGTTGTTTGCCAAGAATTTACATTACTTCACTAAAATAACATGAGCTACTGACTGGCTATACATGGCTGTTTGCGTCATAAATTCCAGGAATATAGCAACAGAGAAAGAATGAGGGTCATCTTGTACAACTTGTAATAACATATGGGTAGTTTATACCACTGGGGTGGCAACTAGTCTGGAAACAGTTGCCAAAACATGCGATTTAGCAGTTATCCCAGACATGAGCAAGGGGGATGTGACTGAAGCCCCACACTCATGTCTCTCTGAGCCTGATAAGTTTAGCAGACTTCACATGGCTCAGGTTGTTCTGGGCCAATTTTCTTTCTCAGCTTTCCATTTTCTAGAGGTGCAAGGAGGAGTCTGAAAAAGAATCAAAGATATTCTGAAGCTGTGATAAATGAAAGGATAAAGTAACTAAATATCTGAAAGTAAAGGAAGACCCAGTTTCTTCAAGCATTCAATTTTTTAAAACGGAGATATTCTAAATTCAATTTTTATTCACTGATTAAAGTGCTCTGTACACATGATGGTATTGCTGGGCTCTTTAAGATTGGAATATGGGTGGGAATCATTAGCTCTGGAGCATAAAATGCCACCTGCCTTTGCCCAGCATTGGTAGCAAAAATAGTCCCTAGCAAGTCGACTCCTTGCTTCCCTCTACCCTCCTTAGTCTTTCTCTCTCTGCCTAGACTCTTACCATTGCACAGTCTTGACTTAAAACATAATTCAACAGCAATCTGTGTTCTCCAAAGTATTGCAGTCACTAAGCCCAGATGACATATGACTCAAGGAGTCAGAACAGCCCGAGAAGTTTCATTGACCAAAACCCAACCACTAGTGGGCAGCACAGCAGATTTACGGAGACATGACTCATCCTGGCAGTCGCTGTCCAGGCGGAGAGAACTTCTCCAGGGCCTGGACTCCAGCCCAGGAGCGAGGACATTTGCCCGAGAAGTTTCATTGACCAAAACCCAACCACTAGTGGGCAGCACAGCAGATTTACGGAGAAATGACTCATCCTGGCAGTCGCTGTCCAGGCGGAGAGAACTTCTCCAGGGCCTGGACTCCAGCCCAGGAGCGAGGACATTTGTAAGAGTCCAACTGAAGTAGTTTAC